ATCGAATCAAAAATGCTTACACTTTGATTTAAGTGTAATAAAAGTTTATCAAATATAAGATCATATCTTAGTAAAATTAATATATATTATTATTATATAACCGCTGCCAATATACGGAATATTGAAAGAAACGCTTTAATTGGCTTTATTACATTTTAGTAAAATATAATGATTTAGGGCTTATATTATTATAAATAGTGGTGTGGCAAATTGGTATTGTTTCAATATGCCTCAATTCATTAATACACTAACTATATCGATTAAAAAAAAATTAAAGGTTTTAATACATTTCATAAGGTATAGTCGAATAAATGCAATAATACTATAATTTGATATCAATTTAATCGTGTAATCTATATACTTTATTAAGTATAACTGTTTAGCAACGAATTATAAGTTAATGATAACGATTAACTGCAGGTATACAATAGTTTGTTAATTAAACATCGCATATACATAATATTGGTGTTGCATAAACGTGTGTTACAATACCGAACAGAAAATGTTCAAATAATTGCTAAAATCCAAATAAATCCCTTTAGAATTGAAGATACTGAGGAAATATATCACTACAGTTTGCAACGCTTACGTAATAATATTGTGATTTTCGTATAATCACGTGAAATTGAACCGTAAAAATTTAACCAAAAAATTAATATAAATACAAATAAAGTTGTATAGTTAAAAATTATTATCTTAATAACTATAATCTCAGAACACACGAGGATTTTTTTTTGTTTTTGTTACTTCGCAAATTTTTAATGTCTTGCATTCAACTCGTTCCAAAATATATGTTGTTTTACATTCTTTCTAGACATAAACCTTACGAAACCTCTTCTATACTTAACAGTTACCATTATCTTATCAGCATTTTTCATTATTAATACAACTGGTTTTGTCATCACATCTTATTATTAAATTATTAATTGTGGTTTATCGTAAAAAGAGTAATATATATTTGTTATATGTATCTACATTAAACATAATTTATATTTAAATATTATGTATGTATTGAATTATTAATAAACAATAAAACATTATCTTCCTAATTTCGTGTATTCATAAGTATTAAGTCAAATGCAATTTTTGAAATGTAAATATAGAGATATTTTTTAAGTTTTTTTTTTTTTTTGTTAATTAATTAAATCCTCAGAAACTTTGGTCGTTGAAGTTAATAATACAATAATTGTATAATAACTTCAACAACCAAACTGTAATTATTACAGTAATATTGCAGTTAAAATTGAACGCGAAATTACAGTTTTATATATTTAATATTACTTTAGTATCACGTTAAATCACGTTTATTTTTGGTGATGCTAATTTGATGATGTCAGGCGTTTGAATAAACAGAAAGTCGTAGAATATATATTTATAAACACATTACATTTTTGTTGTACTTATAGTGTATTGCAAGTTAAAAATGTCTCCATAGTAAATCCCTGTTTATTACAAGACAACGAGTGGTGTGCACACAAACAGAACGGGACAAAAAGCCAGCCAAAACTGCATAACAGGCAACCAAACATTCATCACGATTAAAATACATCGTTTAGCGAACTGTAGTAGGTGCGGTGTATGATTGTTGCGTACTATACATTATTTGCTGGCTTTATCTTTCTGCCCCGTACTGCATTTACGCGTACGTGTACGGTTTAGCGGTTTTTCCTCTTTTAAACATCAGTCAATGTAACATCATCATTGTGGGATTATAAGGTTAATAACACATGTGATAATAACAACAGTGATAGCGGTCGTGTTACACAATCACTTATGTACGCCCGGCGCAATGATCCACATAATATTGTAATATATACACCTATACACGGGTTACACAGGTTCGACGATCGCGTGACGACGGGATGCGGTCGACACTCAACACGTATTACATACTACGAACAGTAATAATAGCATAATATGCGTATTCAATGCGAATAGTTGCACGACATGATAATAACAATAATAACGACGATAATGATCATAGTTATGCCGATGCTTTAGCTCCAAACTGCTACGGTTCAAAAAAAAAAAAAAAATGATACATATCAGTAGTGCAGCTCATCAGTTACGCGTGTAAGTGTAAATGAAACCAGAATACCAAGACGTTATTCGGTTTTGACGTCTACATGATGATATTGTCGAAGGATATTTCTAAAATCAGTCTTTATACTGTTCCGAAAAAAAAAAACAGTGTTATGCATAGGGTTATTACTATATACTTTCACTTCTTCCAGATTAAATCTATTAAAATCCGGGATGACATTCAACCGTTTAGAATATAAGATATAAGATTTTATTTTAATCATGTAAAATATTGTAAAATATATAATTTTTTTTATTGTAATGAACACAACATTTTTTTGTTTATAAGTTTAATAACTATATATTAAAATAAATGAAACTAATTAAATTGTTTAAATCAAAATTATTAACGTTGACGAGACAGGTCAGGCATAAGTTATACTAATTTAACTGAGAGAAAATTATAATATATTGCTCGGGTCTGCCATGTTAACACGAATGTTATAGTATTTGCGTTAAGTACTCGAAAAATATTAAGATCGCTATATTCAAATCAATATAAAGTATTAAAAAATAATAAGTAACCAGATAATATGTACTTTTTCACAACATGGTCATTGTCTACGATAGCTCAGGTTTTAATTTAGTAAAATAATAACACTCTATTAATATTATTTCTACTTCATTCGCTAGTTCACATATCGAGCGGCTACGACGCGTACGTTACATGGGTACGGTTTTACTGCGACTGAACAACGGCCGAAAGCCCGTCGAGTACCGGACGTATCTTATTTGACTTTAAATTATATTATACACTATACAGATAATCTTTACAATATTTCCCAATTATATAAGTACAAAATATTTCGCGTACGCAACAGTCAAACTTCAGCATTGCAGGGTCGCTCACAGTAAAAACCATGTACTGTGTAACAAAAATATAAGACATTTTCTAATACTTTGTGCAACTATCAATAATTTTACTGATGCGTCATTACATGTGCAATACTTATAAATAGAGTTCGGAAGTTATAGGAGTTGCATATTGTTTTTTTTATGCTCTCGATTTATACCAGACCAAGCTAGAATCCGAGCTATGCAATTTTGAGTTTAAAAATTGAAAATCAAAAATGCATATTTTTAATTTTTCATTAATTTTAAAGAAAAAGTGCATATTTCGTCGATTTTCATTGATTGTCGCATATTTGCATACATATTTAATATTTTCTAAAAAAATTTATTTTTTCACTCTTAACCAATTTATTTTAAATATTGCTACTTAACACAACGCTAATAACGTGAAAAATTTGCATCATATAGAACTCAATATTATTTTTCGTAGTTATTTATTATTATTTTTTATTGTCTATTACGAATTTAACGAAACTATTGGTGGTTTAATGCAATAACTTAACAGATATTATAAATCATATATTTATTTCGTATTTCACAAATAATAAAAATATATTTGTTTAACTATTTTTTCAGTTCAATAAAATCTTAAATACCAACCGGTTATGCGCTATATTTTAGTTTTTTATTATAGATTTTTAGATTTTACTTATTCACTTTTAACAAGTAAATAAATATATTTTTTTGCATATTTTACATTTTTCATGTCTTATTTGGCTCTTATAACTTCCGAATCTTTTTTATAAACATTAACTTACAACTGATATAAGTACTTGTATAGGATTTTTAACGTTTTTGGATTGCAACAACCAATATACGAGCATATGTAGTGCCTGAGTTGTATGCACACACGTTGAAACCCAACATATTTATGGATTCACGGTGCCTGCGAAATCGGAAGATTTTGTGATTGCCGCAGCTTATACAATAAGAAAGGTCGTGAAATAGAGGGATGAGAGGGTGGGATGTTATTACTCACACAGACCGGTAAGTCCGATCGGGTCGATAGATCCACCACAACGTACGTGTCCTAGGTCTAGAGGAGGCAACGGTAACAGCCAAAAGCTGGTTGCAACTAGCTGGGACGTCAGAACGAAGGGTGCGATGTGATCGGGGCGCGATTGTCATCACTGGAAGTGTCGGACGGAAGAGTGAAGGGGGGGAGGATGTAATCGGCGGCCGCCGGGACCGTTACTTACGTGTATCACGATACTGCACACAGGCAACACGTCATCGTACAACAGGTAAAAAGCGGCGCGCGGCAGGTGTGCACGGGACACGCGTAAGTATACGTTGCGCACACACGGACACGCAAACGCACGCACACATACACGGCTGGGCGTCGGGCGATAGGCGGAGCGAGGCGTCGTGGTGGTGGACGGCCGGTGAACGCCCATCGGACGTGCGTACGCCGGCCACCGCGACACCGCCGTTTATCAATGATGCGTTGCTGCCGGGCCACGTATCAGCTGCTGCATCAAGTCCGTTCGCGCGCGCGTGTACAAAAATCGAATAAACACGACAACGACCACAACAGCCGTTCAATAACGTAATTGTGACAACATTTTTTAATAATAATAGTAATAATAATCGTTGGAACAATAATATCGCGTTACACCGCGTCGTTTTCGCCGTCTCCGTATCGATTGTACGTCCGTCCGGCAACAACCCCCCATCTCCCCTCTATCTTAGATGAAAACGTTTCTGTTCCGCCGAAACGTCGTGTCCGCCGTTGCTCGCCTCGTCGTCGCGTGAACTCGTCCGCAGTGCCGCTGATCTCTGCCGTTCCGTCGCGTGCGCGCGCGCGCGCGCGCCGAGTGTATTCGACCGTCAGATATTGCCGTTCGCGCGCGAAACGCTTACAGTCACCGCCGTTCGTTGGACTCGCCCTGCAACCGCGTGACATCACACGTCGCCCCATCATGCGTCGCAGTTTCGGTCGGATTCGTGAACCCGCTGCGTGGTAAGTGGCATCCCCGTCGTCGTTCGCGAATAGCTGACCGCGGCGTGTTCGCGCGGGTGTTGTCACGTCCCGTTACACACGATAGCAGGCCCGTAGCGGCCACATGCACGTAGAGTTGGACGGCAACGGTGGTGGCGGCCCGTCACCGTGGGCCGCGGCCGCAGTGCTCGGCCACCACCATCATCACCATGGCGGCGTCGATCACCACCACCGTCACCACCACCACTCCCACCCCCATATACACCCTGCCGCGGCGGCCGCCGCTGCCGCCGCCGCAGCAGCCGCCGCAGCCGCCAACAGTTTTCACCCTCATTCCGCCCACGCGCCGATGGACCTGCACGTGCCGCAACCGTTCCCGTACTACAGGTGAGTCGTTGAAAAGCGCTTCGAGTTATTCACCATCGCGCACGTGCGTAACAATATTGTTCTCTATGATCGTACTCGATTGTATTGAGCTAAAAAATTTGCCACTTTTATATTTCACGATCATTATCAAGTAAGTGTTAATGTTTGCCGTGTAATTCACGGTCAAAGATTAGTAAATATTTCAATATACGTTTTGAAAATCAATTTCAAAGAATTCGTAGTAAATTAAGAGTAACGTTCTTCTTTTCTATGTTCAGTGCAAATCAATTTCATGATATCTGTTTATATTAACAAAGATTTTTTTTTGTAACGTCGACGAATAATATTCTTTTTTAAATACAATTAAATTTCGTTGCACAATCACACTTCACTTTTGAACTGTTTCTCAACTACTCAAAGTGCATCGTAGAACACACTATTTTAGGCCCTATGGTGTACATGATGTAAACATAAAAAAATCGATGTACTCTAAACGCGTTCCAAATTGATTATAGCGATTGTTAACAAAATAGTGAAGGTCAGTATTGCTTCTGGAAATTTCGGATGCAACTTCATGATCTACGCCGTGTTTATCAATGGGTAAGTTGCGTCCTAAACGATGATAACCAGATCATTTTGAATCGAGATCATCTCGTTGATGTAATCTAGCACCTATATAAGAAAATAAATGACATGATGTTGTATCATCCTTATTTATTAACTGAAAGAATTTTGAATGTTAGTAAACATTTAAAAATTAAGCTTTAAATAATTTTTAATTAATAATTCCTTGTTTTCGATTAGTTTATTAAGTTTGGTTGTTTCACTCATAATTTCATAATTTTCTTTTGATCTTTTGTTCTAAAATAACCCTCACAACTTTTTTTATACATTTCCACCGTGGTATGTCTTATTTAAAACGATTAAATTACTATAGAGTTTTGAACTGCACATTTTAAGTTTCCATTTGAATTTAATTCATACGTATTACATTGCGTAGCTGTACTCGTGTAAATACGATTTTGACTCATATTACAAAACTACAATTTGTTCGTAGATGAACTCGTATGGTTTTCAGATATTTAAATATTCTCTTCGCTTTGTTGTAACAAGATATTTATCTTAATTTAGTAGTTTCTTACTTACAGATGACATATTATAGCGATACGATATGAAATTTTTGTCTGCTATATCAATAAATGCGAAGTAGATGTGTTGAATCCAACCATAAGGAACGTATTAAGACTGTCGTTAAATTAAAAATTCTCAACAACAGTTGTAGTAGTAGTGCAACCTAAACGTATATATTGTAAAGGAACGTAAAATATCACGCGTAAAATTGTCGTGTATACCATTACATTTTTCACACGTTTCCAATTGATTGTTGTTTTATTTTTTTTGTCCGCATACATACAGAGATTATAATAATATTATAATATAATGTGTGCGTCATAAAGATTGTATGCGACATAATAAACATTAAAACGGTAGATAAGTATAGGTAAACACGCATTGCATACACAAATAATGTTATGATATTATTAATAAATTATAAATCAATACACGATCAATGAAAGATTAAGTGGTATAAATACGTATATTATAATATGTAGGAATATGTGTATTATATTACAGATACTATGTACTTATTAGAATCCTATTACATCGATTTATCTCGTACGATGATGGATCAATTCGTTTCAATTGTTTTCACCAACGAATATTCTGTTACATTATAAACGAAGAACTAGTTTACGGGTAAATCCTATTCTGTACATCAATGATTTAATAATATAATTACTATTATTATAATCGAATTTTAAATGATACTTCGGTAGGTATGTATAAACATTATACCATGGTGATTCGATAAGGATATCGACATTTCGTACACTGACCATTTAATATATATATATATATAATTTTATTTATCATACATAATATCAATGATTATATATACAGCCACCAAATAACGTTTATTAAATCCAACTATAAAATACCTCTATTCACCGGGAAACTTTTTTCTATCACTTCGTCTAAAATATTTTTAACCATAATAATGTGCATGAATTAATAGATATTGTTTATTACATTTTTGCGCATTATTTAGTTACGAATTTAAATTAAACAGTCACTAAATTCAAGATGTTTTTTTTAATACACATATAATTTATTATAATATCGATATGTGTATACTTATATTAAATATAAAAATCATGTACCTACTTTTTTTTAGTTACATAAAATATTTGAGTATAAGGATTATAGGAAGCTCAATATTATGAACTAACATTTCTTTATTTAAGACCTAGAGTGAAAGTATTTCATTATAAATTGAAAATTTTGGCTAATTTTAAGTCAGTCTGAGATTTAAAATGGAAAAAAATATCATGGTTTGATCAATGAATAATATACATAGTACAATGTTACTTCTTTCTCTTTTCTCGCTTCAAATAGATTTGTATATGTTTTATCAACCAAAAATATTATACAAGTATGATATTATTATCACAATAAATAAATGCAAATTACAGGATCTGTTCATGAATATATCATATTATAACGTGTAAAGTAAATTTAGATTTCGAGAACAGTTATTTAAGAAAATTATTTCGCTACAATTAATAAGATAAAGGTATTAATTTATATAATTAATAACTATTGAATATAATATATTAGTCTATCTATTTTATTAAATTATATGACATAAGTATATAATATTTAGTTAGTAAAAATAATAAATCAATCTATTTAATTTAGCCAGGTAGAATATAAAAATATTTTAATATTGGTAGGAATTTAATTCGACATGGTATGTGCATCGTTCGAAGCGAATTTATTATTTTTTTCTATATTTTCTTCCCTCGGAATATTAAAAATATTTAAATATTTAAAAAAAATACTATATTATATTTTTATTCTTCTTCTTCTTCTTCTTCTTTTTCTTCTTCTGGTTAAAGGCCTTTCGAGACCATCCCATCTCACACCCGTTCCGTTTTATTATATTTTTATTAATTTAATTTAATTACGAAAGTTAATTTTTTGAACACAGAGCAATATAAATCAGTGTTATACAATATTCGAATGTACGCAAAATGTAAATAGACTTAGTTTAAAATATTAAGTTTTCACCACTATTTTATTTTATCAAAATTTAAGTAATAACGTATGCACCCTGAACCCTTCGGCACAACACTTAAATCATACAGCTTTTAAATATCACTTGTTTTTTAAAAGTTATTAATAAAATAAAAATTAATAAATACATTGAATTTAAATATATGCTGAAAACATTATAAGTTCTTAACTATCAGAGAGTTCAAAGATGAAAGTCATAATAGATGGATTGTATTGTTTTATACTATATCACGTTTTTCATTGTCAATTTATCTTATTTGCTTATTATATACTAAGAACAGATTTTAAATATTATTTAAAAAAAAAACATTAAAATTAATTTGTTATCCTCATAAACTTTTAAAGTAAAATAAAATATTATATAGTTTCGAGTGTAAATCATCTGTCATGTTAGTTATATGTTATTTATATTAACATGAACTTAAAATTAATAATAAACCATTATACTCTAGTGACGATTCGGAGTGAAATTGATGCAATGCATACAATTTTATACTATAAAAGATCATATAAGTAGAAGCTTATATTTGTGAAAACAATTATTTATAACGAATATTAAACTAAATAACTAAAAAAACTTAATATAAAAAACAAATTATAATATAAAATGTTCTGAACCTAATAGTTAATACACTAGGTGAAATAGCTTATGATTTGCCATGGATTTTATTTGTATATATTTTAAACATAAATGCAATAAATTTTATAATAATATATATAAAAGCTTTAACAGAACACAATTTAAAATTATTTTCTAGTTTTTTAGTTATTCTATTTTATATGAAATATTTCTAAGAAAAAGTCAAAATTGTCTTTAAAATTTTCTGTATCTATACTGTATACTATACCCTAAAGATATTTTATGAGACTTTTATTACTGATTTAATACCTGGAAAAGTTTTTGCAAAATTCGTTTAACCCGGAACATAAAATGTTATAAAGCCTAATGCTTCAAACTAATAAAAAAAGAAAAACAGTAGAAGTATACGTTTTACATTTCTGAAAAATCGTTAAGTTTCTCAGATTTCTAGCGCTCAATATGAGCGAGAGTTTCTAACAATCCATTTAATTTTTGTTGATTTTTTTATAATACTTTATTTTTAGATTTTATTTATAATATATTTTGGTCAACATCATATTATCAAACATTAACCTATTTAGGACAATTGGATTATACTAGAGTTTGTTTTAAAATTTGATGAAATATGCACTTTCATAAGTTTTTTTAGAATTTATTAATTATTTAATTGGGTTATGGCTATATATTATAAAAATGTTGTAATACCTATATTATTTATCTTATTAATAAGAATGCATTTTTATGTTTCATCAACGTAATTCAATATTTGAGTATTACTGCTAGTTTTTTTTTTTTTTTCTAAGATCTTAAAGTTGAATAATTATCTACTTCTTAATCAAAAAATATATGGGTATTTTTTTTTTTTTTTAGAAATCAAGAAAATTGCAAAATATTTATTTTGAGTATTATATAGTATGTTTTAACTTAAGTAATAACTACTTGCATTTTTACATAACGTTCAAATGTTATACCAATCAATCTCACCATATAGTTTAAATTAATCATTCATTTCAATTACATGCTGATTCATTTAATTTCCCATTTTCATATTTTAAACTTTCATGATGTTGTACTATTTAGAGAAGTTTATTATTAAAATGCTCAGTTATATAAAAATACAATAATTAGTAATCATAAATTCAATATTTTAAATTTAATTTCAAACAAAGTCACCCATTATTTCATATTTGTTACTAATTCTAGTACAATATAGTACAAATAAAAGCAAAGTAACTCTTTAAATATGTAATTTTTTTATTTAAGATATTAAAATAAAAAAAGTGCAAAACTTCTAAGTCGAGTC